CTGGGGAATTCTGGGAGTTGAAGTCCACACCTCTTAAAGTCGCTCAGGTCGACAAACACTGGTGTAAAGGCTTACCAGGGTTATTTGCACAAGATGTTAAACGGGGTGGACGTCAACCTGGTCTGAATGTTTTTGCTGTCGCGCCAGCTGAGAAAACGAGCTCACCAGGGTGGGTGGCCGGCGAACCCTCCAGGCCTGTGATTTCTTTATTTCTGCTCCCACAATCTGAACCTTTCACCTATTCTCACGTCGCGCACGGTTTGTGGCTGTTCCGTGGCTGATCGTTTCGCTCAGCGTCCAAAAAGGCTCGCAAAACCCTTCCTTCCCACCTTACGCACAAGCGTCAGATCCTAGCATGGCTTCGTGCAACGTTAGGAGCGTAACAGCAAAAACGAAGCCTTTTAGAAGGAAGCTCCCCGCCACGGATTCCGCTTTCCTCCCATCGCATCCCTTCTTTTTCTCCCTAGATTAATACCAAGATTAACAATGAAAAGTACCTCCGGGCTCACACGGAGATCGAGGTGCTGCTGTCAGGATTTCTCAGGTCAGTGTCCCAAGTCGAGGGAGAGGAGGGATTTTTTTCCCCCCTCAAGGCAAGTCAGGACACTTCGGTGTCGCCCAACTCACTATAACGCAGCCGGAGGGAAATCGAGCAAGCCGACAGGGCGGTTGCCGGCTCTCTCTGCAGCAATGCTATAGTTTAACCTATTTTTAAGCTACCTTGCAGCTGGGGAACGCTCTCTGCCCCATCTGCAGCGCGCCGAAAACGAAGACCGCAAGGACTGGCTTTCTGAATGCATGACGTTCTCCTCCATCCTGACCCAAAATGCGGGAACGACTGCCATGGATTTTCCCATGTCAGCAGCTGGCCACGTTACAGGCCAGAAGGCACGCTCCTCTGCCGTTTTGCTTAACGTGCAAAGCAGCTCCGGTCTGGAGGAAAAGCCCCAGGTGAACAAGGGGCCAACACTGCAGGCCGGGGCAGCGCCTTTGGCTGCCAGCTGCCGACCGCTAAAAATACTGAACTCAACAAGGGTCCTGGGGGTGTTTTCACAACGCGGTGTTTCACCCTTCCGATGTCCTCCTCCCCTTGCCCGGTTCAATTTCTTTTAACCAACTTCGAGCTTTCGCTGCTGGAGAGTCTTGCTAATTGCTTTATCGATTCCCAATGCCGGAGTTGCGCCGTTCAGAAAAGGTATTTTTAATTGTTATAAATATTTCCTCGGCTCGCTGACTCTTGTACGCTTTTGTTTAGGTTTTTCATAGAAAGCTCTTTTCATCCCCTCACCCCACCCCGCTTTCGGCCAAAGGGGCGATGCAGATATAAATTAAACGTTTCTCCTTGGTTGCTAATTGGCTTATCGATTCTCGATAAGGAAGGCGTAATTTACCAATCTGACAAGGGCCGACGAAATCAGCCGGGGCGGGGGGAGCTCGCTGCTTCAAACCCTCTTTCAAAGTCTGTCTTCTGCCCCCCCCGCCCCACCTTTCGGTTCTTTGCAGAGACGTCTTGATGCAAAGGCCGGAGAACATACGGGAGTTTGCCGCAGGTGAGAATTCGTCGGAATGACACCCATCGGGAGATCTTGTTTTCCTTACAGGAGGAAAGCAACGCCGTCTTGTTTGGGGTCCAATCAACTTGTGTGCAAAACACACCAGCCTCTGCTTCTGATTGGCTGGGGTTAGGGGGGTGCCATGGAAAATTCCGAATTCTCTTTTGGCCAGACGGCTTTGCACACCCTCCAGCGTTCTCTCCCCAGCAAGGACATCTCCTCTGCCACCTGCCCAAATGAAATGCCCGCCCGGTTCTTGCTTTAATGGGGATTATTTTGGACCCTGATTAATCCTTCAACGGGGAAGGACCCCCGGACAGGGCGCCAAGCGAGCGTCGCTTAAAAAACAAAGCAGATCCCAACCCTCCCAACCTAAATAACATTTCAAAAAAAGGCATAACAAGGATTAAAGTAGTTAACAATAACTGGTTGAGCGTTCAATCTAAAATCAATGGAATCTAAGCTTAAATTCAGCTTCTTAAGATTCTGAATCAAACAGGATCTCCTTCCTTCCTTCCTTCCTTCCTTCCTTCCTTCCTTCCTTCCTTCCTTCCTTAAAACCTCACTGATGTCATTAGGAAAGTGCCCCGTTTCTGTCCGTAAAAGGGGGAAAAAAGGCAGTTGTGCCCCGGTCCGACTTGAAGTCACGCCCAAGCTGGATGGGGTGCGTGAGAAGCCTTGCAAGAGGAGTTTGGCTTCTGAAAAGGCTGGCCAGGCCCTGCGTGGAAGAGTGGCTGACTCTGGGGCTGGCAAAGAGAGCCCCAGGGAAGTGGCACCCTCCCCGACGTGCGCAGAGGGCTTCCCTCTGCAGTTTGCACCCCTGGGATCTTGTACACGCAGGCACAGACACACTCCCTTGGAGGAGCAAAGGGGCAAGGCAGAGGAACTGAAGAGGCTGCAGCTTTGGCTGAAAGCAGGCCGCTCTGGGCTGATATTCCCAGATTTGTAACCGAGGGGTGGTCTGGACGAGACCGTGCCACCCACGGGAGCTGCGGACAGCTGAGCCACCCTTCCTGGTCTTGTGTGGTGCGCAAGTGGCGCTCACCAGAGGCATCCCCTGCCTCGCCCCTCCAGATCGCCGATACGCTGCCCCTGCGGTTGCCTACACACCAGGGCTGGTCTAAACCCTGCTTTCCCTCCCCGTTCCCCTTCCAGATTATTTCACCAACCCGGAGCTGCCGAAGAAGATCCAGCAGCAGATGATGGAGAAGCTCAACCAGGCTTCTTAAGAGCCTCCCTTTGGTTGAACTCCTGCTTTTGCGCGGCCTGAAAATGGCACCTCCCAGTTCTTCTGAACGTGGTGTTTCTCGGAGCCTTTTTCCTTCCACCAGAGTTGCCAGTAAACCAGCAAAGAGCACGAGAATTGCTCCTGCTTCTTGCACCCGGCGGGGGGTGGGTGAAAGATGGGGAAATGAAGGCAGTTCCCCCACGGGGCTGTTTCGGGGGAGTTGGGGAGAGCATCGCTTTGCAAAACGTTGCGACCCTCCGCAACGCGCGCCCCGCTGGAATTTTCTCCCAAGTCAACACGCGTGGGGTTGCAGAGTTAAATGTGCTCCGTGGATGTCTCTACCGGTCCAAAGAAGTGTTAATAATAATCTCAAACACCATTTATACAGCACATAAGGGGAAGACCTTAACCTTAACGGGATTGTACTTAAAAATTAAAGGACTAAAGCAGGAACTGCTGTTCCAGCTCCATTTACTTGACGGAGGTAAGCAAACCTCTGCCAGGTTGCCTCAAGAGGGTGTGATTTGTAGACTAGATGATCTTTGAGGGTCCCACAGGTTCCTTGCGACTCGATTCTGATTGTTCCCCCCCATCTAATGCTCCTGAGATGGGCTGAGCATGGACCTGCCGTCGTAGCACCTCTGGAGGCCCAGATTGCAGAAAAAGTGCTCCAGATGTTTAGCCACGGATCCTTAGCTCCTGGCCCGCATGGCCAGGGTGAAAAAGTGTGCCCGTTACGCTGCAGAATAGATGCCCTTTTGGGAATGCCAACCCAATACTCCAGAGATCATGTACGCCCAATGCTGACTGTAGTTTAATCCAGAGAACTGAAGTACGCTTTGCTTCTGGTTTTGTCCAACAAGCCACAGGCTCAAACGCCGAGGCCATCTCGCTTCGGCTCCCGAGGCCCCGAACACCGAGTGCACAATCGCGGTGACCGTGCGGACACGCTTAGAATTTTCTGGGCAGCCGCAGATCCCCCCTCCAAGAACACCTGGCCGTGCTAAGCTGCAAGCCGAAAGGGTCCATTGGGATCTGGAAAAGCCACCCCAGTGGCCACACAGGGCTGCTCAACCCTTTGCACCATGCGCCAGGACGATGCAAAGGTGACATTCTCTGCTGCCCCCTGGCGGAGCAGAGGGGGCGAGGGGGCAGCCAAGAGGGGCAAGGGGCGAGGTTTTCGTGACTTCCACAAACACACCCATTTTTCACCCTGCGAAAGAAGTGCTGTTGGGGATTCCCTGAAGGTGAACGCTGCGCAGAGGGCTTTCTTGAGTCCCCCTCCCTGCAAAGCCAAGGGAGACTTTAGCAACTTCGCTCAGGTTGTCAAACAGGCAGGGCGTGCCCTCTTTAGAACCAGGAGGGCCCGGCGGGCACCCCAAAGCAGACCTAGGCATCAAGGGGCTGGACGACTGCCTCTCCTTCCCTGCCAATCCCACCACCGTCTTGGGAAGCTACCCCAACCAAGGTGCCCCTCTTTGGACATTCAGGGCCGCCTCACCCGCAGCCTCCCTCCACCTCGCCCCCTTCCAGGCCTGGCAAGATCTCCCGACATTATCTCAGCAGTCACCTTGATAAGGTGGGACGTCAAGCTCCCTGTAATGAATGGGTCTTCTGCGGCAGGCGCAGCTTGTCGCCGTGAATATTCATGCCCTGCTCTGACGGAGCGCCCCTGAGCTTGCCCCCCCTTCCCCGGCATCGTCACGTCGGGCCCTAATGATATTGTTGGCAGCTCTTCCTCCTGTGCTTTTAAAAGCGGGGGCTGGCGGACAGAGGAACTTTTCCCGTTATCTTCCCCGTGGGGGACACGGGGGTGGGCCGGCCCTCCAGGGCTTGGAACCTGATGCACAGACAGATCCGCTTTCCCTCGGGGGGGGGCAGAGAGCAGAAAACAAAGGCAAGGGTGGGCATAAATTACCAAAGGGATGGCTCGGCAGCAGACCCACCGTGCCAAGCGACCGTAGTCCGGGGCAGATTGTTCCAGCCAGAGCCGAGACGGGACTGTTAATGCGAGAAGGGACGGTTGCGCGACGGCCAGCTTTCCGAAGTCCGGAGATTGCTGTTAACGGGCCATGCTGGGACGTGCCGGGTTCCCCGGGAGGAGCCTGGCACGCTAGCGACAGCAAGGCTAGGAGGGTGGCAGCAAGGGGGAGCCAAGACGCTGCCCCCCCCAATTTTCAGAAAGGCAGAAGCCCTCTTAACAGCCCCCCTCCAAGCTCTTCTGTGGTCACCCAGCCTGCTGGCCTGCTTCTTCCCGGCCCAAGTTCGGATTCAGGGCGAGGGGAGCAGATCCAGCAGGAGACACCGTCCCTGCCCCCTGGCTTGCAGGCTTGTTTGTGAGAAAACTCTTTTGGGGGGGGGCGTTACTTTCTGCAACTGGTTAGAAGAATGAACAGAATAGCACTAGGGGACTGAGAAGATTTAGTGATTGAGCAATCGACCCGCCACCCATCCGACGGCTTATCTTAAACTCTTGCAGGGCAAGGCTGCAGGTCTTTTTAATGGACAGATCTCTGGATCTGCTTTTGAGGCTCACAGATGCTGTTGTCAAAGGGGGTGGACAGTCCACCTTGCAGAGCCCCACACCTCCGCTTCTAACACCACCTTGGTATTCGGCTGATCTAGCTGAAGTAAAGCTTCCGCGTAACTTTTGGGGAGCCCCAAACGGGCAAATCAGTGGCTGGCGGGTCCCAGAGAAATAAGGGACCTCCTTCGTCAAGAGATTGGACGCCAGGCAATTCAAACTAACGGGTTTGCTATTATCAACCCCAAACTGCTTTCAGCACCCCGGAGTATAGATATAGTTCAGAAGTCTCCAAAAAGCGGCTGTTCTTTCTACCTCACGGGGCCATGCCGAGCGGGTCATTGCCACGAGAAAGCAGGTATCGACAGAGGTGTGTTTTTATTGACGGGATACTCCAGCCTCTTCCCACTTCTGGGGAGAGCGGTTGGCAGAAACTCCCCAGCAGGACCACCTCTTCCCAAGAGACCGCCTGCCTGAGGCTTTAAGAGCCAAGAAAAGCGCTTGCTTCACCCACCATTCCCAGCTCAAGGAGCCCCCAGGAGGAGCTTTCGGAGAGAAAAATCTTGGCTGACGACGGGCTCCGTGTTTAGAGCCACAGAGAGAACGGACGCTTCCCAGCCTCTTCTGTGCGGGGACGTCACGGACTTTCCACTGCACTGTCGGGGTCTGGCTCCTTCTGGGCGAGCCAGAGCCGATAGCTGCTCGGTTTCGGTTCGGCGAACTGCTGCATCGAGAGGGGGACGCGGACGGTGTCGAGCCCGTTCACCTACAACGCAGAAGGGGGGGAGGAGGAGTCACCGAGAGCCCCGCTCTGTAGCGAGCAAACTGGAGAAGGCAGCCCAGCTACTTTGGCTCAGATCAAGTCTCCCCTGGATGGCACCGGCTTTCCCGTTTCACCGTAAAGTGGCACAGGCTTTTAGCATCCAGGTGCCTCTGGATCCCCTGTTCTGCCCACCTGGGCAGGTGGGAAAGCCAGGGAGGGCAGGGAAAGATCAAAGATTCTGGGCTTCGCTTCTCATAAGAGGAGCCTGCCCCTTTCCCCCACATCCACATGGCCGTGGCACAAGAGTGGCTTAAAGTCAGATGGCCTGAAGGCTCCCCAAAGCTCTGAATTCCCAGGAGCCTTGGTGGGCAGCCTGGGCACGGGACGTCAGCCACTCTGCGCCAATCCCCACATCGTCTCCGCCCTGCTTGCGTGATGCGCGAGCCAACGCTCCTTTTCCCTGGGCCGAGGGGCAAAGGCACCTGGATTCCCAACCCCAGAAGCGAAAGGATCAAGGATGAGCAGGGAGGCCCCTCTCCCTTTTTACTAGGGCTTTTTGCAAACGCTGAATAGAAAGACAAGAAGAAAGGCAAAAATCGCAAGAGGCGATGGAGGGCGGTTGAAGAACCATCACAGACGGGATAAACAACAGGAAAAATTTCCCCAAAAGGAGCATTTCAAAGACCGCCACAGAGGGGGAGAGGGAGGCCAACTTCTCTCTAATTCTCTGCCCTCCGCTACCGTTATCCAGAGGTATACTATCCTTGCACAAAGAGGCTCCTTTTGCTAACAGGGCCTGCTGTGTTTTTATTCTCCCTTTCTACGCCAACGTTGGATACCCCTTTGGGGCTCCGCGGATCAGAAGATCTCCTAGCCACGAGCCCCAAGAAGCTCTCAGAAGGCTGAAGAGCCCCAGCACACCTGCGGCGAGGGAGCCTTACCGTGACTTCGCACCAGTAACTGCCCAATTTGGTGATGGGTTCTTCCGGGAGAGTCAGCGCGTGGGGGGGTACCACAACCCCCAGCTGGAAGAAACAGGAGAGGGGGGCATACAGCTTCTTAAAAATAGGATTATGGTGCGTTTCTCTAAGGTGACCCCAGATAGGCATTCATCTTGGGAAAGGTTCTGAACACCAGGGTTCACCTCTCTCAGGCCTCCTCTATACATCCTTCTGGCGGAATGATATACTCATTCCATTTCTTCCTGATGAGTTGATAATCAGGAAGAAATGTAATCGCTCTTCTCAGCTGGTAAACTGTACAAGTTTGATCCAATCTACTGAAACCCCCTTGTTGAGGGTTTGTAGATGAAGTTTCCCCTTTTCGATCTAAAGCTCAGCTGCTTTTTTACACACCAGCTCTTTTTCCTTACCCACAACACAAGATGAGCCGCGCACGTGACAGCTCTTAACAATAGCGTGAACATGTATGTACTTCTTGCTTAGTTAAGAATATGAATTAGCAGTCCCCGCTCTGCAGCACGGGGAGGATTATAAGGGCTAGGTTAAAGAGCAGCCCAGCTCCTGAAAGGCCTCCAAACAGAAGTCACTCCCGGAGGCCAGGAGCAAAGAATCAAGTTTTGTTTTAATGTAATATAAGGCAGGTATTAAGACGGACATCTCCGCTACTCCCACGCGCACCCCACCAGCCCCAAATACAAACCTAAAAACGGCAGAACTCACATTTCGGAAGAAATGGCGGCTGACAATTTCTTTAGTCAGCTCCCACCGGTCACACTCGTTCACGCCGATCTCGAGGGTGCAATTCCTCAGGAACCGGATCGTCTAAGGAAAAGCAAGGGACATCTTAACAGCTAGTAAACTAAGGGAAGGAGAGACGGGAACGAACCCAAGTTAGCTGAAATTCCTCCAAAACGCTACAGAAAACTCTGTCCGTGCTCCTTGGGTCAAGATATTAATGCTCTGGATCCGTTAACAGCTGCTTAGGATTCGGGAGAAAGGAGAATCAGGAGTAAAAACTAAAATTTCTGGTCCAGAAGAGGTTATGTACGCTGCTGTTATTTGCAGTTCTTGCTAATAGAATAGATCAGTGTTTCTCAACCTTGGCAACTTTAAGATGTGTGGTCTTCAACTCCCAGAATTCCCCAGCCAGCTGGCTGGCTGGCTGGGGAGCTGGCTGG